TTATACATTACATTTTCATAAAATGACACTGGTCATACACTACTAACTGAACCATGAGCCAAATTTTCATTACTATTACTTAAAAAAAAATCTGTGTGGGCTCAAGTGAATTTTTAAATTCCTATACTAGAACATTTATAATTTGAAATACGAAGTTTAGAGAAAGATACTGCAGATGGTGTGTCGAAAGACCTCTTTGGAGCTTGTGGTACATCGTACATAGTACTTTATAAGAGGTAAAGCAATTCTTCCTTTACCTTTCTGAGTTCTTGGCTGAGATCCTTGTAATAAAAAATAGATTAACAAGAGAATAAACCCAGATGTTTATTGACATGTATCCTCATGTATACATGGGAAATACCCAGGGAAAACTGAGTAACTTTCAGAGGTGATTCTAGCTTAGATACCATCTTCAGCTAAAAAGAAAAGGAAGAAGGGTGAGGGGAGGCTAACTGTGGGGAGGAACCCGGAAAAGCAGTGTGAACAAGTGTAAGATTTGTAATGCAGATTTCAGTATGCATCTTCTCCATTGATAAGGGTCTAAAGTTGTCTGGAGGAATCATCTTTGTTCTTCCTGGTAGGGAGGGAGGAGAAGGACACTTTTATAAATTTCTGTGGTGCTTTTAGACAAATACAGGGAGAGCAGAGAGATTTTCTTTTATCTGCTTCTTCTCAATTGTTTTCAATTCAAAATAAGCCTTATGCCAAAGTGGCATATTTTGGAAATGAATACTGTCCTTCAGTAGGAGTTTCCCTAGGCAGCTCTTTTTCTAAGAAAGAGATACACTGCCAAGAACTGGGAAGGATCTGATATTTTATCCCACTTGTAAGCTAACAAGTAGTCTGCCACAGTTTCTTAGAAGTTGACAGATGCATGAGATTCCTCTGTCAGAGACAAAGGGTTTTATTACTCATAGCACCACAGGCAGCGTGAGCTTCAGACTCATAAATTCTTCTTGCTCCCAAAGCTGCCAGTGTGAACTGGAGCTGCGATGCAGGAGCTGCACAAGCAGCCAGGGTTTGGATCAGAATAATGGACAAGTCCAAGTTTAGAAATGTCATGCTAGCAAACCAACCTATACTTTGTCCTGGAGGAACAGATTATCTTTGTTATCCTGCAACAAATTTCTCTGCCCTTGAGGGAAATATCCCTATCTTTGAAACTACATGTGTAGAAATGCAAGAAACCCATGGCGACTTGACCCCAACATACACAAACACAATACAAACTAAGATTATAAAGATGAAAAAAAATGCACAAAAATTCTAACCACAGATTTAAACTAACATTATAAATGTAAAACACTCTATCCTTTCTGATCATTTCTTTGAATATGTCGTTAATCAATTAGAATAAAACCTTGCAACAATTTATTTTGCTCTGTAGTAAATTATCACTTGATGCTTTAATAGTCACATGTTTTTCCTCTTACCAAGTATGATCTCCCTCCATTTAGTCCCATAATCAAAACTTACTGTCTAAATTATTTCTTATTATGTTACAGGAACTAACACACTTTCTCAAGAGTGGCTTGCACATTAGCAATCTTCCTTTTTCTCTGCCTCTTCCTGATAAAATTAAGTTTCACAAGGTTCCTTCTCAGTAGTGTAGCTGGGCAATTATTACTCAGCTTTGCAAGGTGGTTTTCTTCTGCTAATAGACAGCTAACGCTTTTTTACCCCCACATCCTACGCTCCCCCCCCCCACATTCTTATTTTTAAAAAACATTTTAGGGGTTGTCACATTCTTCAGAGATAATATCATCCTGGTTTTTTTCTTTGTTTTTAAGCTAAAGCTACTAAAGCCGTTTGGTGGGTGTATATGTGCATCGTGTCCTTTTAAAGCCAGAGCTACAAAATTCATCTGAGTTCCAGAGAAAAGCAGAACTGTCGATTACTCTTACTGAATAAATTAAAGTAACTGTTTAACTTTTCACCAAGTGATAAAAACCAAGCTGTTCCCTTCGGTGGATATAATTACGAAGGACATCCTAAGAGTTTGTACAAAGGTTGGGTCATCGGTAGAGTTGTCAGAAAATATACAGGCTACCCTGTATATTAACATATAAACAGTGAATAATTTTTTACTGTAACTGTATGCCTCGTGTGATATTTGGGACATACATATATTTTAAAAAATCATTGTTTATTTGAAAATTAAATTAACCAGACATCCTGTATTTTTATGTGCTAAATCTGGCAACCCTATTCGCCATTTACCCACCAAACAAACTACAAATAACCTTTTGGTAAAATTTCGCATCAAGTGGGTTTTAGCTCAGAAGCACTCCCCTTGGGGCAGAGAGGTTTCAAAGTTTTGGTGATCTGACATCAACACGACGCAAAAATAAACGTGAGTAATTGAAAGGTTTGAAATTCACAGAGGCAGACTTGGAAGTCCAGCTCAAAAGAGTGGAGGAATAGACTAAAAGAAGTCATGGACTGGCGGGTTTAGGGGTTCTCGGGAGAAAAAAAACACTGGAGCCTGGAGAACCTAGCCGAAAAGTGTGAAAGTTACTGGAGCAAAGACTTCTGCAGTTTAGTGAGGAGAGAGCGCGAGACCTGAGCGAGCCAATAGGAGCCGAACAGAAGGGGGCTGGGTGCGTGAAGCCAATCAGAGATGAGATGGGTGGGATTAGACTCCGGGAAGGCGCGGGCTTCGGCGCTTGGGCTCCGAACTCAACCAATCGGAACCGAGCAGGGCGGGGTAGGACACCGGGAAGGGGCAGTCTCAGGGAAGTAAACCGCACGGCCAGCGCGTCTTTCAGCCTCCTCTGCTTCTGCGTCTGCCCTGCACCTGCAGCTTCGCCTTTCTCCCAGTAGGGCGGACGCTGACTGGAAGGGTGACGAGGCACGCTTGCTTGGCTCGTAATGGCCTACCCGGGATACGGAGGAGCGGTGAGTCGCACAGCTCCTCCGCCGCCTCCGCCCTCGCGGGGTGGGGCGCCCCTGCGGGCGGTGCAGCGTACGGGGTCCGCCCCCTGCCTCCGCTTGGTTTGATGGGTCTCTCGTACTTCGCGGTGTTGAGACACCTCGCGGTGTTGAGACACCTCGCGGCATTGGAACCTGGGGCCAGGGGGGCGCCTTAGTCGAGTCCTTGTGAGGCGGGGATGTGCTGTGGTTTTGGAAAGTTTCTTCCCGGATTGGAGGAACTAAAGCGCCCTTTTCTTGTTGCAGTAATATTTTGTGGTCGACCCCCACCTTCCTCAGTTTTGCTGGACGTCCTCTTTCAGAATTTTTGGCCACTTCTTGTTTTCTGTCCTTTAAGTTGCTTATGAATAAATTAAGGTGTGCCAGATGTCTCCCAATGTTTACTCTTCTATCAAGGGCAATCTGTTCTAGACTTTTTTGGGAGGTAGGAAGCATTAGGTTATTCTTCCTTACATAACTTTTTATCCTTAGCCTCCTTTGAGAGTTGGAAGTTGTAATTTGTGGTTATATACTCTTTTTTTTTTTTTAATTCCCGAAATTGCTTTATTGGGTATCTTTTAATGGTCTTTTTTCTTCTTTTAAAAGAAGCAACTTTTTAAAAATCTCATCTTTTTTGGTTTGCTTGTTTTTAATCCATTATATTGTTTTAACGTTTACTGTTTACTTGTACTTCATTGTTTCATAATCTAGTTGTGCTTTTCCTGGAGTTTGAAAGGCATCTTCTGGAGCTCCAGCACTTCCTCCATACATTTACCCTTACACATCCAGCTGCTCAGCTCTTCAAACTGCTGGTAGTATCCGATCTTATGATTCCTTCCCTCCCCCCACTTTAGAATAAGTTTTTTCTTTCTTTTTTGCCTTCTGACAATCTCTATTCATCTTTCAAGGATGCAGGTCAAGATTTTTGTTCAGTATGGAATAACAAACAATCTTGTTGCTTCTTTCTCTTCCAGACTCATAAAAATGCTCAGTAAAATGCCTAAGGTATTAAAATGTATACCAAGTTCCAAAGTTAAAAAAGTAGAGAGAATGGGGCGCCTGGGTGGCTCAGTGGGTTAAAGCCTCTGCCTTCGGCTCAGGTCATGATCCCAGAGTCCTGAGATTGAGCCCCGCTTCGGTCTCACTGCTCAGCAGGGAGCCTGCTTCCTTCCTCTCTCTCTGCCTGCCTCTCTGCCTACTTGTGATCTCTGTCTGCCAAATAAATAAATAAAATCTTTAAAAAAAAAAAAAGTAGAGAGAAGCCATAGCCATAGCAGGAAACAAACATCAGAATATTTACATTTGAACCATAGTCTCCTTCTTATTAGTTATTTGACCTTAACCGAATTAGGAAACCTCTCGAAGTTTCAGGTTCTCAATGACAAAAAGGACATAGTAGTTTAATACCTCATAACATTTTTGGAAAATCAAAGCACATGATGAAAAGTACTTAGTACCTGGGCTATAAAAAAAACCTCAGTAAATATTAGCTGTGTATTATTTTTGTTGGTATTATTGTTATTCTTATTAGTTTTGAAGACTGTGGTTGGAATTAATCACTTTATTGATCTGTTTATTGGTGTCTTGCTTTTTAAAAAAAAAAATATTTTCTGGTGGAGACGGTGTTTGCATTCTATGCAGTTTCCCATGCCTAGTTCACAGTTTTATTGTGTTTACCATGTATTCTTCTAAGTATGTGTCTGAAGTACACTACTACTTAGTTTGACTGCAGGTGAAATTTTTTTGTATTTTTTTGCTTTTTATTTCAGTGATGTTGATGGTAAACACTTGAAAAGTGTGCTTCATGTTCATCTGTTAGATTAAGTTCTCAGAGGCTAGAGAGGTTTTTTTGTGTGTGTGTTACACTTCTTTTGTTGTTGGATAATGTGTTAATGAACTCAGTTACCTCCTAATGCAGGACATCTAGCATTTTGTAGCTAATAGCGTATGTAATATGAATTCGGTTGCTTTTAGTAACTTTCTATTCTTGCTTTTCTGTGGACTCATCATAAATATTTTCTTTCATACCAACTTTAGTGGGTAACAGGTAATATTTGTATTAAAAACCTTATCCTTTTTCACTCTTATAGTTTGGAAATTTCAGTGGTCAGATGCCAGGAATGCAGATGCAGATGGGACAGCCAGTTCCAGGAACAGGGCCAAACCTGCTCCCTGGTGGATACCCAGCATATTCTGACAGTTATTCCTCAGCGGGAGACCCCATGTGGACATACTTCACTGCTGTTGCTGGACAGGTGAGGTGTTAAATACATAGCACAAATACTGGTTTTTGAAAGTGAGTGCTATTTAAAAGAAATGTGAGCTATTACCTAGTGTGTTATTTTACATGCATATGAAATTTGTATTTTAAGCTTATCTAGACTGATTTTTATCTTGAGATCAGAGATGAGTCTAGTCATAATTATTTCATTTTTAGAAGTCCATTGGTATGATGCCTGACACATTGTTCGTTTCACTAAGACTGGAAACTGTGGTGCATGGTGACTGAGCCAGAGAGGATTGGGGAAAATAGATCTACATGATCTACATGTTAATCTCCATGAGGAGGCTGGGACACAGTATCAAAAAGGAGACTTTTAAATTGTGAATGGTTCTGGGAGAGACTTGATGGTAAAGCCAGTCAGGAAAGGGTAAAGAAAACACCAGAATAGAAGTTCAAATATCAGAGTAGTAAAAAGAGATAGATTCACACTTGAGTCTTAGTCACAGTCTGTATCTCTTCTTTTAGATTCACCAAGAAAAACTTAGAGAGTAGTTAGAATTTCACAGGACTTTGATAACATTTTTCATTTACTCATTCACTTGAGTGTTCACTAGGTCCCATATGCTTGGCTATTTATAGAGGATATACACAGAATTATTATATATGGCGGACACTTTGTTTTGGTGACCCCAATTCCATTCACAACCTCTTTTTCCCTTCTGTGGTAGAAGTTGGAAAAGCCCTACTACAAGCCCAGACACCTTGAATCTAGTAAATGTAGCTGTGTGCCACAGGACTGGCCACTGAGACGTAGGTGCAATTTCTTTAGGATGTTTTCCTTTTCTAAACGAGAAAAGCCTTCCTGGCAACTAGTAATGGCCCTTTTTGCTCCTTGATTCTTCCTGTCTGGAAAGGGAACTTGAGATAGGGAAGTGCTACAGCCACCTTGGTACCTTGTGTCAACAAGCTTGAGAGAACAGCCTTTGGATGGGATGTGTAGAAAAATGTAAAGAGATGGACGGCATTGTAAAGTTGCCGTACAGTCCTGTTCTGCCTAGCCTCAGGCTTCTTGTATAAAACAATAAACCCTTAACATTCCATTAGTGTGTGTATATATATATATCTATCTATCTATCTATCTATATATATATAGATAGATAGATAGATAGATATATATATATACCACATCTTCTTTATCCATTCATCTCTCAGTGGACTTCTGGGCTCTTCCCATAGTTTGGGTTTCGTGGATGTTGCTGCTATAAACTTTGGGGTAATATTATGCAGCAACCCCTCTCCCCCCAAAAAGAAAGAAATCTTTCCATTTGCAACGATGTGGATGGAACTAGAGGGTATTGTGCTAAGCGAAATAAGTCAGCCAGAGAAAATACAAGTATCATACAATCTCACTGATATGTGGAATTTAAGAAACAAGACAGAGGATCATAGGGGAAGAGAGGAAAAAACAAAACAAGATGAAACCAGAAAGGGAGACAATCCATAAGAGACTGAGGGTTGCTGGAGGGGTGGGGGATGGGAGGGATGGGGAGTTTGGGTGATGGACGTTGGGGAGGGGATGTGTTGTGGTGAGCGCTGTGTGTTGTGTAAGACTGATGAGTTAGAGACTTGTACCCCTGAAACAAACAATGCATTCTCTGTTAATAAGAAATAAAAAAATAAATAAACCATTATTGGTTTAAACCTCTTTGATAGTATTTTCTATTGTTTGCAACTAAATGCAATGCTGTTACATGATAACTCTTAAGTAGTGTAATGCTGGAATATGTCTGTTATCTCTAAGTGACTATATAATTTATTTTATAAAATTACAAGTTAAAACATAAAAACTGGGCGTAGATTTAGGGACTTTTATTTGACTTCTGAACTCTTTCAATGTTACAGTTGGGAACAATTATTTGCATTTTTGTACTATTTGATATTTGCATTAAATTTTTCACAGTTTTAGGGGCGACTGGGTGACTCAGTGGGTTAAAGCCTTTGCCTTCGGCTCGGGTCATGATCCCAGGGTCCTGGGATCGAGTCCCTCATCGGGCTCTCTGTTCAGTGGGGAGCCTGCTTCCTCCTTCTCTCTCTCTGCCTGCCTCTCTGCCTACTTGTGATCTCTGTCAAATAAATAAAATCTTAAAAAAATTTTTTTTCACAGTTTTGTGATTTTGAAGATTTATTTATTTTAGATGGGATGAAGGGCAGAGGGAGAAGAAGAGAGAGAGAATCTCAAGCAGTCTCTGTGCTAAGTGCATAACCTGATTTTGGGTGGGGGTCGGTGCTTGATCTCCAACCCTGAATTTGTGACCTCAGCCGGAACCAAGTTGCCGTGCTTACCTGATTGCACCCCCCAGGCACCCCTAGTTTTGTGCTTTTGAATAGTAAAACTCCATGAGCACATGGCCCTTGACATTTTCTCCCTTAAGCACTAGGAATATATTAACCATTCCGTAAATGTATTGGTTGGATGTGTAAGCTGGCCCATCTTCAGTGTTTAGTCTAAATATTTAAACAGTTATTTTATCTGTTGAATTTTGCCCAGCTTTAAGGAATCAGGTAAGTTTACTGAACTCACCTCTGCATCTGTTTTTTTGTTTGTTTGTTTGTTTGTTTTTTTGGATAGGTCTCATAATTAATGATGTTCTATGAGAAATGTCCAATTAAAGGTTTCTACAGTGTTCCTTTTTATTGGATGACATTTTTTGAGCAGTAATGATTCAGTCCTCAGTTGTTTAGGGGAAATTCCGATTTGTACCTTTGCAAATACACATACACACATACACACATGAGACATGAATGTCAGTAATACCAACAGCTTTAACTTGAATGTGCATATTGCTTTTCCTTTTTCACACAGAGGTAGGTAGGCAGGATGGATGTACCTTTTTATTATAAATGAATAACTGGAGATTAAGGTTTAGTAACTGAACAAATAGGACTTGAACTTGGGTATCATTTCAGACTTGCTGCCTATTAGTTAACCTAACCAATGGCAACTAATTTTTTGTTAATGATCTAACTAAAGGTCTTCTTCAATTAGAAAATGCAGTTTTCTACCACTAAAGCTCTTTTGTTAGGGTTTATAGAGTTGATCATTATCATTAGCTCACACTGCAATAAGGAGATCCAAAGAGATCGCTTGGATTTTCTACATAGAATTTAGGAAGACATTACTTGTTAGTTAGTCAATTAAGATAACATGTTTTCATAAAATGTATGAAATATGAGTATGAAGTAGTATACTAAGAGAATGCTTTCTGATGGTAATAACTTGTAGAAAAGCTAGTCAGGTTGTTCTTCAGACCCCAAAAATTCTGAAAAAACACATGTAAAATAGAATTTCACTCATTAATTAGATTTTAGATTTTTAAATTTAATTGACACTTGAAAGAGAAGTTGTAATATTTTCAACCTTTGGAAATAGTGAATGGACATGGCCACAAACTGTCAGAAATGACTATAGTTGAACCAAGAACCAATGATAATTGTCTTCATTCTACCAGACAACCAACCTGCCTTGTATTATGTCTGATGCTAGGGCTTGGGGTTGCAGAGATGAGTGAAACTTAGATCCTGACTTAGAAGATCTCTGCCAAGTCAGGGACATAGACGCACAAGGAATGATAATGGCACAGGAAGGAAGTGCTAAAGATAAACAGGCGAAGATTATGGCAACACTGAGAGAGCGTTCTCTTGTCTTTATGCTTGTTGTCTTTGCCTAGAATAGCACTGTCCAAAGTAAACAGAATAAAAGAGCCACAAACGTAAGCCACATAGGTAGTTTTGAAGCCTCTTACCAGAGGCTTTACATTTTAAAAAGTAAAAGAAAAGGTGAAATTGATTTTCATAATATATTTTATTTAACCCAATCTATCAAAAATACTAATATGCCAACATGTAATCAATATAAAAGTTATAAACAGTATTTTGCAATTTTGTTGTTATGACGTCTTGGAAATTTGGCATATATTTTACACTTACAGAGCATCTCAGATGAGACTAGCCATGTTTCGGTGCCCAGTGAACTATATGGCTAGTGGCCACTGTATTAGACAACACAGGCCTAGAACACTCTTCCTTCAGATATCTGCAGAGCTTGCTCCTTTCTTTCTTCAGATCTTGAAATTCACTTTTTTTATGCTGTAAGTAAATCCACCTATCAGTGATTTAGTTATAGGTGAATTCACTTTATCAGCCTTAGTGAGGCTTTCCTTAACTGTCTGTATAAAGTAGTGTTGGTCTACCGCATAGAGCCCATATACACACTCCGTATCACTTTTACTCTGCTGTATTTTTCCCCTTAGTACTTATTACCATCAAATATAATTTTTGATTTATTGTCTCTTCCACCACTAAAAAGTAAGCTCTGTGAAAGCAAAGAGTTTCTTTTGAACACTGATACTAGTCCATTTAGTGGTGCTTGAACATAGTAGGGGGCTCAAGAAATACTTGTTAAGTGAATGGTTCTTTCTAAAATGGAAGACATCTGTTCATTTATTTCTCTGCACTATCTTAACATACTTGTTTTCATGTCTACTTTGTAAGATTAATTTCATCTTGTATGAGCTTTTTGTTGGCTGTCTTTCTGAACAGTTGATTTGTTAAGGTATTTTGGGATTTTGGTTTCTAAACCTATTTAACATGGAGTTTTTGTTTATTTCCTCCCTCCCTTTTTTTGTCCTCTTTTGTGTCTCCCTCTGTACTCATGTCAGTCTTCCTTATCTAGTGGTTTTGTGATTTTCCTCACCTCCATTGTGTCCAGATTCCAATTTCATGACAGCTCAGGGCTCCTCCCAGGTAGTGGTACTGCAGATAGCTTAGCCCAGCATTTTAGTTCTGCTTTCCTAAGCCTTCCACGTCTCAGAAATGGTATCATCAGGAGATAGTCTGTAGTATAGTTTGTTTTGCCTCTTGTCCTGAGTAGAGCATCCCATCTCACTTCCTGTGTTCAGATGGTGTGCCACTCACAGTCCCCATGCCTTGTGAAGTCCTCAGAAGCAAGCCCCCTGCCCTGACTGCGCATATGTCTTTGAGTGTACAGAATCCAGAGAAAGGTCCTCTGTGTGCTAAGTGGACTTTTCTCTGAGATGTTAGAGAAGAAGCTTGTATTTGAACAGAGATTATCATCAGACCACATAGGATTGATTTCCTTCATTTTAATTGAATTGGTCAAGGTTTTTAGTAAATTCAAATTGCTCTTTTCTAGAAAGTTTTCATTTCGAGCCTGTTGTTTGCACAAGGCATTATTTTTATAAATGAGGAAAAAAAATTGATGAAGCTTAGTAATTCTCATTAATTTTATTCTCAGGTGTAGTATCAATTTTCCACTTAAGAAAAATCAAAGAAAAAGGTAATTTATGACCACATTATCTTTAGTGTAGTAGAAGAGAGGAGGCATTTTTAAATTAAAAATGAGAGAAAAGTCATTTCCTTCTTTTGCTTCTGTTTTACTAATTTGTAAAAAATTGTCTTTCAAAATTTACCCTGCAGTAATTGACAAGGATCTGCTGTCTGTGCCATCATTTCACTGAGACACTATGGACAGTGGCAGTGTGGACTTCATTGATTGTTTTGTTTGTTTGTTTTTTTACTGATGATTTCTTAGATCATGTTAGAAGTGTTTGTGTAGTGTTTCAAAGTCTTGAAATATAAAAATGGTTTGATACAGCAGGAAGGTAGGTAATCGCTTAAATAAAGATTCCTTCTAAAGTCTTTATCATTGGAGGAAAAATTGCTAACGTACCTTTGATTCTAAACATATGGCTAATTTTTTAAAGTATAATTTTCTTAGTTCAGAATTTATTAAAATTTTGTAAGCAAAATCCCAGAACTATGCATGGCAGAGAAAGGAACACTTAGATAATCTGTGTAGACACGTGCATGATCCATTGGAAAGAATGCTTCTTACATTTTTAAATTCTTGTTAGAACCACTGGAATTTTTGTTATAAGGAATTCCTTATTAAAGACTCATTGGAATATGAGTAGTTACAGTACTTCTTGGAAGTTGGTTGTAAACATTTTTTCTTTATTTACTGGGTCTCTTACAAAACCAAACTCTTTCAAAGTTCGTGTTTTAAATTTGTTTCCCTGATTCTTTCTCAGAGCTATTGTTTTACATTTGTGACAGTGTTTATGATGCTTTCAAGTAAATTACTCTGTATATTTTTGTAGAAAATAGGTAGAGGTACTGAAACATAATGGGAATATTCAACCTGTTTCACTTCCATTGTGATTTCTTGATTGTGTTAAAAAAAATTATTTCCCATAGTAAGTTCAAACAAGAATGTTTGGGAAATAATCAGAATAGCAACAAGATGCAGGATGACTCTAAAATTTTGCTGGGGGTAGCCGGGGAAGTAGGGGGAAGTTATTCTCTCCTTCCAGTTATGGCTTCATATCCCTTAAAAGTAACACCCCATGAAAGGGGCTACTAGGGGAATGTTTTTGAGATTTTTCTTTGGTCGTTTTCCCGTTTTAAGTAGAGATGCAAGATTCTCACTAGGTATTTTGACCTATTATAGGTCAGAATGATTATGGTGTTTCTCAGAAGTAGAAAAAATAAATTATACTTGAAGTTCTTAAATATTAATAGAATATAAGTTGATTGTAAAAAAATTATTTACTTTCTGTGCTGTTTTATAATATGCCTTTGCTGTCAGTAATTACCTCTACAATTTTGTAGTTGATAATAATGTTTTAAAGAATGCATATTTATTGAATAGCCTAAAACAGCCAATTAGCATACTAATATGATTTGATATAATTGTGCATTAAATCAGATTATAATTATTTTTTGACAGGATGGTGAAGTGGATGCTGAGGAACTTCAGAAATGTTTGACACAGTCTGGAATTAATGGAGCTTATTCTCGTGAGATCTTCTCCCCGCCCCTTATTTAAAATATTTTTAAAAATATTTTTATTGAAGTTATATATGCACATAATTTAAAGAGTCAAATAGTTCTGCAAAGCTTATTGTGAAAATAACTGTTCCTTGTGCATAATTATCTCCCCAATGTTAACCACTCATATAGGAAATTTCATTCAGCTTTTGCAGCTGATCCTTTTGAAATTTGCTTCCAGATCTCAAAATAGCATGCTTTTATCACTATAGATTTTCAGTTTTAGTGATTAACAGTTGATATCCTGCTATGGAAGATGAGAATTAACTCTCTTGGAACTTGAAACTCACTCTTGCCCTAGTACTTCACATTGGACTATTTCCCAGTCCTTCTCCCTCCAGTAGAGCTGTGTAGTAATTTCATTAGTACACATTAGTACTAATTTCATTTGTACACATTAGTATATATCAGTAATCAGTATTTGTCTTATTGTTATTATCTAAATGTTCTTCCTCTGTCTTGTGATAATGTGTGATTAATTTCCCCTTTTATATGCTGTTTTACTTTTTCTGAAATTAATCATCATTTTGAAACTTTTTATTGTGACCTACTTTATTTTTTTTTAATTAACATAAAATTTATTATTTGTTTCAGGGGTACAGGTCTGTGATTCATCAGTCTTTTTTTTTTTTTTTGAAGATTTTATTTATTTATTTGACAGAGATCACAAGTAGGCAGAGAGGCAGGCAGAGAGAGAGTAAGGGAAGCAGACTCCCTGCTGAGCAGAGAGCCTGATGCGGGGCTTGATCCCAGGACCCTGGGATCATGACTTGGGCCAAAGACAGAGGCTTTAACCCACTGAGCCACCCAGGCGCCCCTGTGATTCATCAGTCTTAACACAATTCACAGCACTCACCATAGCACATACCCTTCCCAATGTCCATCACTCCTGTCATTCCTTCATTATCATTCCAGAATGGACTTTCCGTGCTCTTTGGAGTTGGAGCTCCCTTTTTTCATCTCTATTTCTCTATTTCTCTGTTCATCTCCCTATTTCATCTCTAGTCATTTTTTAAAAAATTCAATAAAATACAACATTTACCAGCTTCTTAATAAGAGAATATATGGGAACAAAGTCTTTTTAGGCTTTATCTGAAAATGCTTTCATTCTGTCCACAGAATTCAGTGACCAGGTATGCAACTCTGCATTACAGATTGTTTTCATTTATAATTTTAAAGACATTGCTCCATCATTTCTAGCATCCACTGTTACTTTATCTTTCTGTTTCCTGCCAGTATGTCAGTTTTTTCACTGTGGAGGCTTGTGAGATCTTCTTTTTGTGCCTGGTTTGGAATTTCAGAGTGATGTGCCTGGACTTGTGTGGGAACTCAGTGGGCATTCTCAGACTGGGAATTCATTTACTTTAATTCTGAGACATCTTCTTTAGTGATGTTTTCTCAATTATCTCCTTCTAGAATGCCTGTCATTTCGGCTGGGTCACTTTTCTTAATATTTTTGTCTCCTATCTCTGTGGAGGCTTGTGAGATCTTCTTTTTGTGCCTGGTTTGGAATTTCAGAGTGATGTGCCTGGACTTGTGTGGGAACTCAGTGGGCATTCTCAGACTGGGAATTCATTTACTTTAATTCTGAGACATCTTCTTTAGTGATGTTTTCTCAATTATCTCCTTCTAGAATGCCTGTCATTTCGGCTGGGTCACTTTTCTTAATATTTTTGTCTCCTATCTCTG